TCTAAATAAATAAATAAATAAATATTTACTTATTTAATATATACAAAGCATCGTAATGCTTTCACAGTTGGACTAGACCCTGTCCAATGCAGCCTGCATGAGAAGCATAGAAAACACTTAGTACCAAATCTCACCCATCATCCCCCTTGATGTCTGCAGTCCCGTAGACCTCGGCAGGGCTACACATTTGGCCCTCAGCCCTCCGCCTGCACCCTGAGCCACACCAGCCCTCTCCCAGACCCTCATCCCCGCCATCCTTTGTCCAGCCACAGGACCTCCGCAGATACTCCTCCCTCTGTGTGAAATATGCTTTCTGGTGCTGCGACAAAATACCCAATCGATTTAAGAGGAATAAAGGCCTGTTTTGACTCCTTCAGGGGTTCCAGCCTAAGATCTACAGGCCCTGACGCTTTGCGCGTGCGCAAAGAGCTTAAAGTGGAGAGAGCTGTTTCCCTTATAGAGGTCAGGAGCCTGAGTGGGCCCAAGGGACCAGCATCCCCGCCATCCACTTCGAGGCCACACCCCCATGACCTACAATCTCCCACTAGGCCCCGCCTCTTAAAGGTTTCCGCAATCTTCACATACACCAAAAGACTACTAAGCCTTTAACATAACCTTCCTAATGCTGCAACCCTTTAATATTGCTCCTCATATTGTAGTGAACCCCCCGATCATAAAATTTACTTCGTTGTTACTGTAATTTTGCTACTGTTATGAACTGTCATGTGGATATCTTGATATGCGACCCTGTGAGGGGGTTGTGACCCACAGGTTGAGAAACTCTGCTTTAATACCTCGGTCTTTGGTGGGGGGGGATGCATTCAGATCCAGGCTACAGCAGCATTCCCCTCACCTTGTACACTGGCTTCTCCACGTCTCAACACAAAAATTTCCCCGTCGGTTCTGCCCATCGCAGTGAAGTCTGTGTGCCGCCGTGTGCTGTCCTTCTTTGGGGTAGACAAGTTGTTTTATAGTCGTCTTCTGCGCCCGGACGAGACTCCTGAAGACCGGCAGACACACTTCTCCCTTTCGCCCTGACATTTGCCTCTCTCGCCGCTGTATTTTCAGCACCCGCTCCAGAGCCTGGCATATAGCTAGTACTGATTAATCGAGTGCCAAGTAAGGAAATGAGTGAATCGTCTTTCGGAAGTGAGGACCACTACCATCCCCACTTCACAGACAGAGAAACTGGGGCTCTGAGCAACAGCTAGCTCAAGGTCCCACCTGTGAAAAGGGCAAAGCCGGGCTTGGGGCCAACTTGGGACCCAAATGTTCACAGGTTTAGCCACTCCAGGCCACGTATCCGGTGGCCTGGCCTCCGTGACTACCTGTCTTTCTCTCCTGACAGGTTCTGTGAGGACTGAGTGGTGGACTGAGACTCCCCGCCCTGGCAACTGCAGGCGGAACCATGGAGAGCCTGAGTGAACTACAGAACCCTCTGCTGCCGAGGAGCCCCACCCACCTCCACAGTCCCTACCCCTACACGGAGCCCCCAGCCAGCTGGTCCTGCCAAGAGAAGCTTTATTCCTACCTCCTAGGAGGTGCTGGTCCCTCTCGTACCCATCAGCTCCTAGACCCGGGGTCCCTACAGCTGGCCGTGGAGGCTTGGTATCGGCCCAGCTGCCTCCTGGGGAAGGACAAGGTCAAAGAGCCCAAAGCAGGCAGCTGTGAGACCAGCTTCACCGAGGCCAGGGAGCCCCCAGTGGGGCCCACAGAACAGGGCTCAGAACCTGGTAAAACTGAGGAGGATGTCACCATCCACACTGTGTCCTATGGAGTTCAAGAGGAGCTGCAGGGCCAGGAGGACAGCCAGGAGGAGGAGGTAAGTAATGTGGTTTTGTTTGTTTGTTTTGTTTTTGTGTGTGTGTAGATTCTAAACTGGTCGTGATAACATGCCTTTAATCCCAACACTCAGGAGGTAGAGGCAGGAAGGTGAGGCATTTGGTGTCAACTTGGTCTATATAAAGTTCAAAGACACCCTGTACTACACAGTAAGACCCTGTCTCAAAAAAGAAAGCACACTTATCTTGGGAGGTGGAGATAGAAAGATTGGGAGTTCAAGGTCAGCTCTGGCTACCCGGTGAATTCAAGGCTAGCCTGGGCTACATGATATGCTATTGAAGAAGGAGGAGGAAGACACTCACTTGAGTTAACTATTTATCAACCCAAGTGATAAATAGCAACCATTGTAAATAGTGACTATTAATCACTTGAAAATAATGTGATTATTTTGGTGGCTGATTATGTTTCCTCTCTGCCTCTCTCCCACAAAGTATGTGGCTTTATAACCTGATTTTCCGATATCGCCCCGTGTAATTTAATATGTTCTACAAGGTGATTTGTAAAGTGACAGGGTCTTTCACTGTGAGCCCTTCGGTCATTTGTTAACTCGATCACCTGGTCTTTGGGCACTGAGAACGCCTCTCAGAATCTTCCATCTTCACCAGTCTCTCTCCTGTGATGAACATCTCTAGATTCAGAGGCTTGCATTCTTCCGTGGTGAGAAGTTCCTAAAAGTACCATTCACCAGGTCACATGACATGGTGTGACAAGACCAGCCTTGTCTCAACTCTCAAAACTCAGCAGAGTTTGCTCTATATCTGCCCACTGGATAATGCCTATTCTGTTGTTACATAAAACAAAACAAACAAACAAACAAAAAAACCCTACATTATTTATCTATCTATTTCTTTTCTTTTTTTAATTTGAGACAGGGTTTCTCTGTGTAGTTTTGGTGCCTGTCCTGGATCTTGATCTGTAGCCCAGGCTGGCCTTGAACTCACAGAGATCCAGCTCTACCTCCCGAGTGCTGGGATTAAAGGCGTGCGCCACCACCGCCTGGCTCTAGCTATTTCTTTACTGGCTGTATGGTCACAGGATAGGTGTGGGAGTCAAATGATAACTTATGGGAGTCAATGATCTCCTTCCACCTCCGGGTCCCGGGGATTAGCGGCTGGCAAAAGAACCGTGTGTTTTTAACTCTTCTCAGTCTGGCAGGGTTTGCCAGACCCTGGCTTTTGCTACCAAACCCCACTCTCTCGCAGAGTGATGCGACCTCGACAGAGAGCGAAAGTGAAGACACCTTCCTCACCCTGCCTCCCAGGGACCACTTGGGGCTCACTCTCTTCTCCATGCTGTGCTGCTTCTGGCCGCTGGGTATCGCTGCCTTCTACTTCTCCCAGGGGGTAAGTGCACAGGGGATTCGGGGGTGCCTCTCTGGCCGGCCACTCTCTCAGCTGGAGGACTTGACGCTCCCCTGCACGATGGGAAGGACCTGGTGGACTGGGCTGTTTTGTTGGGTCTGAGGATGCTGCCTTATGTCAACCTTTTGTCTCCCTAGACCAGCAAGGCCATCTCCAAAGGGGACTTCCGCCTGGCCAGCACCACCTCCCGCCGGGCCCTCTTCCTGGCCACCCTCTCCATCGCTGTGGGGGCCGGTCTCTATGTGGCTGTGGTGGTGGCTCTGGCTGCTTACATGTCCCAGAATGGCCATGGCTAGTGGGCAGTAGGATCCTCATCCTGGCGCTCCCGGCCCGCCTGAGGAAGGTATAAAGCTTGGAACTGTGTACTCTATGGAGAGCCTTGACCCCGAGGTGAACCTGCGCATGTGGAGGGGAGGCCTCCCGTTCTGCAGCCTACACAGCCCTCTTGCCCACTCTTCCCTGTCCCAGAGCAGGCCTGGTATGGATGGGAAGCAGGAGAGGCAGGGTTGTCCAACAGGCCTCGCCCAGCCGAGGCTGCCCACTCCCTACCGGGCCTCGGTCCCACAGGCAGCTCAGTTCTCCCCCTTCCTTGCCAGTTTCCCCAGAGAGAAAAAGCAGGAGCTTCCGGGGAGGAAAAGGAGTACCCGAGAAACAAAGGACGTGGCCAGTTTTTTCAGCCCGTGGGGCTCTCCCCGTACGCACCATGAGCAGCTACCCCACGCCCCATGATGCCCAAGATCCACCAATCAGGAAAGACCTCCATGGGCCCCAGCCATCCCTTGCTCTTTCTGACTCCAGGTACTCCCTTGTTAGTGTGGAAGATACTCAGCGGCCTCTCCCAGGGTGGAGATGGCGCTGGTGAGCTCTGTGGTAAGAGCAGCTTGCTGGGGCTTTTCTGCTCCACACAAAAGGCAAGTGCAGTGCCAGAGAGGACGCAGGCCTGGAATACCGCAGGACCACGTGGCCCCCTCCCTCCGCCCCTGTTCTTATCTCTCCCATCCTTTCTGGGCTCTGCTGGGAGGACCCTGAGACGGTTCCCCACAGCAGGGGAGACTGAGAAGGGTGTTGTTACTCCCTAGCGATTGAGGAGTGCAGGGTCCCGGATCCAGGCTTACGGGGCATGGTGAGAAGGGACTCTGGGAGGTGGGAAATGCAGATGGAGGAGGGACATGGACAGATGTGGACGGTAGAGCAGTCAGCAGTGCCCCGGGAGGAGGTGTCCCCGGAGCCAAGTCCAGGAGGACCGCCAGAATCCACCCAAGGGATTTGCTCCTGGGTAACTCTCCATGCTGGTGGGCAAGGGCGTGTAAGAGCCTCCCATGGAGGTGCCCAGGCTGATAGGGTTCTGCCTGGATTATCCAGTCTGGAGCAATTTTTGTGCAGCCATTTCTAAACCCTCCATCAACCTAAGCAGGAAGGCCAAGCCTTTCTCTCCACCCATGATGTTTTCCCATCTTTGGACGATGGGGTAATGGTGGTAACGGCCCCTGAGCACCCTCACCGATAATTGCCCCTCGGGACTGCTTTCAAGCCCCTCCACCCCAAGGCAATGACAGTTTCAGAGACCTCCAGAGCAAAGGACGCGGAAGAGCGGGAAGGCAGGCCCACGGGGATTCAGCCTGCAGGACTCTTGTGCACGATTTGGGGAACCTGGCCATTTCCACGCTCTGGTCCCACCACTCACCCTCCTTGGTTCCCACACGCTCCCCTTGGTTCTCCACGCTCCACCCCCTGCACTGACGGTTTTAATGTCCCCGGACGGTCTTTATTTATCCTGACAATAAACTTTTCTGTAATACCCGGTGCCATCTGGGCTGCTTGCTGTGCTGTGCTTGTATCCCATGCTCCTCCAGGGCTGACCTCCATCACCCCATGTCCGTCGTTCTGGATCTCCATATGGGCCTCAAGAAAAGGGGCCAGAGGCCAATGCTGCCCTCAGACGGCTCGGCCTGGGGTACCCGGGATGTAGGTTGATGGACTGCATTTGACTTACGCAAGGCGAGGTGAGATAAGAAGCAGGCCTGCAAAAAAAAAAAAAAAAAAAAAAAGTTCTCCTATCTGTAAGAGCATTGGGGGGGTCTGGAAGGGAGAGCGGAACCAGTGTGACTGTGCTCTAGACAGCTGCCTGGAACTACCAAGGGTAGAAACAGGGTACAGCATGCCAATGGTCCCATCCCCCTGCTATCCATTTTTGGCTCCCCCACATCTCCCGTCCCCAGAGTTGCTCCTGGGAAATGTGGAGAGGAAGTCATCTGCGCCTCAGGTTCTAGCCTCGGCACCAAATCCCCAGTATCCTCTCAGTCCGGGGCCCCTAGCAAAGGAGCTAGCCTGGTACCAAAGTCACTGTGTCTAGAAGGTCCTGGGGGAAGTGTGTTGTGCATGCCCCACACCCTATGGACGTCCATATATAAGACTCAGCTCTGTGTATCTGTACACACAACCCCATGTGTACCGAGTGAGCTAGAGACCTTAGAAGAGAAATTAGCATATAGGGTGTGTTTGTGGAGGAGAGGTAGGTAGCTGGTCTGGGAATAGCGAGAGGCCAGGCTGCCATGCAGTCCACGATGACCGTCTGGACCAACCCGGAGTCGAGCTAGGGTGCTCTTCAGGGTTGACACAAGATAGGGCAACGAGCCACGTCTTGCTGCTTTCTCATCTGTCAGTCCCGCTAAGGCCAGCCACTAAGGGAGCCACCTGAAGGTCCCTGGGGTGTCACACCACCGTACCCACACACTAAGCACATGTGCCAGCATCTCCCCCCCCATCCCTCTGCCCTCTCTGTGTACTGTGACTCGGTGACAGATGGCCAGAGCCAGGTCCAGCTCCAAGTACTGGAGAGATGATGCTGTCTTCACTCAATGCCTGATGGGAGTGGGTGGATAAGTAGCTTTGATGTCTTGCCCCTTGGATGGGAGGTGAGACATATTGCCCCCTGGCTCCCAGGGGTCCCCAATGGGACCTCTTCGGCTTCTCACTGCAGCAGTTCATTGGTAGCTTGGTCCTCATGGGCTACCTTCCTCCCTCTCTTCCTATTGCTCTATTGCACCGCCTGAAACGACTCCCCATTGGGTGTTTCTCAGGGTCAGCGTTGAAGGAACCCAAACCCAGACACACACCTGCACATTCATATACATATGTCTGTGCACCATATGTGCACACATTTGCGTATACACGCACCTACACACAGGACCAGCTGTGCAGCGTGCAGACCGCACACGGCACATGATCACTCCAGAGGTGAGGATGGAGCGATGAAGACTCTCTTCCATTTCTGCTCACCCTGAGGTATCACTCCTTCTCTCGGCTGGCACAAGGTCCCAGTCCTAACCAGGCAGTCTGCCTCACAGCCCAGACAGCGCTCACTTCCTTCCCAGTCTTCCAGTATGCTGTTCTAGGCCTTGAGAAGAAGGAAAAGGAACCATGTGACTTCCTATGTCCTCCCTCCCTCCCTCCCTCCTCCTTTCCTTCCTCTCTTCCCTTCTTTCTCAAGATGGAATCTCAACATGTCTCTCAGGCTGCCTCATATAGGCACACACCCCCCTTACCTAGTTTGATTTACTATTTTCAAGCCTAGTCTCTGGTTCCCACCACACAAACATCCTCTTCACGTCCTTTTCACTTCCATCCCTTACCCTCCGATACAAATTTAGGCTCTACCAAAGATAGTGGCATGAGAGGCAGGGCCCCGGGGGCTTCCCTCTCCCCCTGCTACGAAGGGCCTGTTCTGTGGAGTCTGGGCTTGTCCCAGAGTCCTCGGAGCACAGGCAATCACACTCCCCTGTTCCCGATGAGACCTGCCTGCCTCTGGCATGCCTGGGGCACTTCTGTCCACCCGCTTCCCTGTTCTGCCTGGGCCTCCTGCCCTAGGCTCCGGGCTGTCTGTTCCTCCCCTTCAGGCTGGTTCCTCTGGCTGGCAGAGAGACTGGGGGCTGGGGGGGGGAGGGGAGGGAGGCTGGGGCTGGGGCAGTCCCCTGGGTAAAGGTGCCTGTGATGAGCCGCGGTGCCAGCACATCTGTGCAAATATTACCAATTATTTTCCTCACTATAAACCCCCAGCAGGAAGGCAGAGAAGCAACCAACCCAAACTGTTTAAAATAGAAACTGAAATTGCTGCACGGGGAAGTCGGGGAGGGGGGGGAGCTGGCAGTGTAGGGGCCCCCCCACACCAAGAATCCAAGGTCCCCCCCACCAGCTGCCCTTAAGTTGCACCTGTTCCTGCTGCCCCTCCACCTTCGAATTCCATCTCGAGGTTTTCTGGGGGCCAGGAAGGAAGAAGACAGGAAAAGTCCTTGCTTAGCGGATGAGGTCTCTGGCAGAGGGGGAGAGCCGTGCTGGGAAGGAAGGAGAAAAGACTGAATAAAGACACAATGAGGATCCCCGGGCTAAGGCCACCTGGCCTGTGGTTGGCAGCTGCCGGGCATCCTCCTGCCCTAAGTAGGCCACAGAGCCAAGGGTTCTGTGTGGGAAGGAGGGAGAGGGGAAGTGCCTTTTCATTGCACCCCAGCCCGGGTGAGAAAGCCATTCTCCCCAGGCCCCCAGAACAGGCAGGAGGGTGGGGGGTCTGGGCCAAGTAAGACCAGCACCTGTCCTCACTCTAAGAGAAGGCATTTTTCTGATGACTAGAAACCAGGTCCCAGGGCCCCAGCGGTCTTCTCTAACCTACCCTCCCCACAAGCATGCTGATGGACACCAAGTCTTCATGGAGTCACACACACTGTCAAAACGGTGACATACCAGTTCCATACCAGTTAATAAGTGGGCTCTTCCCTGGCTTCAGGCCCAGGGCCCCAGATCTCCCCCTACCCTAGAGCTCAAGAGTTAGCAGGCAGGACAGTAGCCCCTTCCCCAAATGTATACATAGGTCCATGTCTGAGCTGCCCTGATGGTTAAACATCTACCCGTCCCTGGCCATGAAGGCGCCATTGGTCTGTCTGTATGCTCACAGCCTCTCCCCTCCTTAAAGCAGCTCCCTCAGGAGGGAGTCATAGGAAACCCGCCATCTTCACATACCACGTAATTCTTGCGGCTTTTTAAAGATCTCAGCCCAGGTCACAGACTGGCCAGGCCTGAACCCCACTCCAAGGAGGGGCGAAGATCAGTACTGCGGCAAGACAACCACCAAGTCTTCTAGGGCATGAATCTAGGAAGGCCACGGGAGGAAGGAATCCATCCGTAAGTGACCACGCTGCAGATGACCGGGCGGTAGAAGAAAGAACAGAAGTTCAGCAAGGAGATGAGTTACCCAGTGTCGTACAGCAGGTTATGAGCTAAGCCCTGGCCTCACTTCCCAGGCCCTGCTGCTGCTGATTGGAGCTGGTGATATTAGCCTTCCTGGAGCCAAAGAAAACCCAGGGCCACCCACTGTCACCTTCCTGCGCATTAACAAACCCAGCCTTAGCTCCCAGGTATCTTCTGGTTCAAAGGCTTCCCCAGCCACCCCCTCCCTAGGGCTGACACCCTGGCCCTTGCTATTTTTGGTGGCAAGGCCCAGGGTGGGTGAGAGGTTGATAACCTTGCTTCAGTCTGCTCCCGGGGGTTCTCACATCCTCTCTTGCACAGAGGGAGAAACTACTCTGGGCCGAGGAGTCCCCGCAGGGAGACTCAGATGTTCCGAACAAAAATAAAAGGTGTTCATGTGGCTCATTTGAATTTCCAACATTCCAGCCTCTGTGCCTTGAAAACACACACTCTCTCTCTCTAAAGAGCAAGGCTGACTTCAGAGCCAGTTCCAGCTCTGCAGAGAAATGGCAGTGATTCCCAGAGTGCAGGGTCTCCCCAGAAGCATCCCATAAGGAAACAAAGGGATGATGGACATGTTTGCACCACAGTGAAATGGGGGCAAATGGCATCTTGAGTACAAAGGACCTTCTAACAAACCCTCTTCCACAGAGGGGGCTGTTCCTGTGCCCATCTTACAGACAGGGAGACTGAGGCTAGCAAAGTCTGTATCACAGTAAAAGGGAACACAGCTTCTGGGAGTCTACAGCATCACCCAATGCCCACATCCTGTCTGAAGCCAATTTCTGGGTGCATCTACTCCCAGCCCTGTTTGTAACACTTCTACTCAGAGGTGGGCAGGGATACAGAATAATGGAAAGCTGAGATCACATCTTCCTGGAGACAGACTCCCCAGCTCAAGTCAGATCCCTCCTTCTGGGAAACTATGGACAAGCTGTTCCTCGATGTTTTCCCATCTGCAAAAATAGGGGTCCTGCGGGGCACTGGTGGCGCACGCCTTTAATCCCAGCACTTTGGAGTCTAGACTGTCCTGGAACTCATTATGTAGACAGCCTGGCCTCCAACTCCCAGCACTCAGGAGGCAGAGGCAGCCGGATCTCTGAGTTTGAGAGCAGCCTGGTCTATAGAGCGAGTTCCAGGACAGCCAGGGCTACACAGAGAAACCCTATCTCAAAAAAAAAAAAAAAAAGGATGGGGGGCTCTGGTGGTGTTTATGGCTGCAAGGATGCCTATGTGTTGTGTGTAAATGAATACTTATATGGCTCCTACAGCGTCACCAAATGCTATGCTGGATGGGATGCACACCTGTAATCCCAGCACCCTGGAGACTGAGACAGGACAGTCTAGACTCCAAACTGAGGCCTTGCCTCAAAAGAAAAAAGAAAAAAGAAAAAAAAAAAGGAAAGGAAAGGAAACACTGTACAAAATTTCTTAACTTTTTTTTTGGTTTTGGTTTTTCAAGACAGATTTCTCTGTGTAGCCTTGGCTGTCCTGGAGCTCATTCTGTAGCCCAAGCTGGCCTTGAACTCAGAGATCCACCTGCCTCTGCCTCCTGAGGGCCGGGATTAAAGACATACACCACCACTGCCTGGCACTGTCATTTTAAGTTTTTTCTTTAGGGACTGGGGGTGTAGCTCAGTTGGCAGAGTGCTTATGTAGCTCTGGGCTCCATCCCAGCACCACATGAACAGCATGGGGGAAGCGGATACGTGCGTGCCTATAGTCCCATCACTCAAAAGATGAAGACAGGAGGATCAGAAGTTCCAGATTATCCTTGGCTACACAGGAGCAAGTTTGAGGCTAGCCTGAGCTACAGGAGACCTTATCTCAAAAAGATAAAATAAAAAATCCACCCCTCCCACCCTCAGCCGGCATTTCCCCAAATGGCCTCCATGCTAGAGCTATTCCTTCCCATCCCATCCCTTCCATAGCCAGAGACACTAAACCCAAGCTCCAACTGCCCAGATTTCTGCTGATTCCTGGGCAGGTCCCTCTGAAGAACACTGCCTGGTTCTCGTCTTCTGGGCTTTGCTCAGTCTCTCCCTGCGCCTAAAATGCCCGTATCTGCCTCCATTCTTCCTAGATACGGTGCAAAAATCTCTTCTGTGCAGCACTTTCCAAAAACCCACCCTTCCCCCACACCAAGGCTCTTTTATGGGCCACCACCACATCTGTTCAGACTGGCATGGCCACCAGCTACCACACAGCGTGCTCCTCCTGAAGGTGGGACTTGCCTCTGAACTCAGCACCAGATCTAGCTCCAGCCTGCCTTCAGTAGACATTCTCACTCGCCCTGTGAGCCATTGGGGGTCAGACTCTTTCTACAGCTCTGTGGAATCCGGAAAGGGACTTTCTAGATGGGAAGGGTTTTACAGTTTCTGGGAGGGTGAAGGGACCCCAGAGATAACAATGTGGACCCCTGGAATGCCCAGCCTGGTGGTATCTGCACTCCTTGCTGCCTTTCATCTGGGATGCCACAAAGGCCACCCCCTGGTGCTGTGAAGTCTGCACCCTGCAGGACACAAACAGGGACAAAAGAGTTAAAAGTGGCTGCTTGCCTCTCTTTGGTCTCCTGGATGATCCTGGGATAAGGATGTCCTCTACTCACAGCTCCGCCCCTGTTCCGTTCTGGGCCCCATTCTCCAAAGGAGTCTCCAAGTGTGGTTGCCACCAGCCTCCACATGCTTATCTGAAAGCAAGGCCAAAGCAGAAGCATGCTCCCTGCAATCCCACACCTCACCTCCTTCCACTCCTTCTGATCTTCTCCCAAGCTCCCTGATTCTGTTCCTTTCCATCCACTCAGATGCCTGCAAAAGCGCCCTACATGTCCCGCCACATGCTGAACATAGATGAGCCTCAAGGATGCTGTGCTGGGACATCTCAAAAAAGACAAAGTCTGTATGTTTACTTGTATGAGGTTTCTGGAGTGCTCGGACTCATAGAGTGTAGACTGGTGGCAGGAAACTCATATGCTGATGTCTTTGTCGGGAATGTGCATACTACTCTTCAAATTTAGGCATGTTGAAATTCAAGGTGGTTGCCAATAATTGGATAAACAGAGACCGCTGAACTTAAAAATGATCTTAAAAATGCACCCTTTTATCCAAGCCTTCTGTGTGCAGCCCTAGCACCAGGGAGGCTGAGGCAGGAGGGTCGCTTGAGCCTGGACTTCAGTTTGGATCACATTGCAAGACTCCATCTAAAGAAATGAAGTCACCAAAGGAGCCTCTGTTTGGGCCTGCCAGAGAAGAGAAGGCAGGAAAAGTCAGAGCGACTGACTACGGAAGTAGTCAAAAGCCAACTGCACCTAGCTGCGCGATCGCATACTCCTCTCAGGAAATACACAGCTCCACGGTGCGTTCCCAAACACTGGCCACGCCTGCCCTGTCCCACCTCCCTCGCTGCCAGCCCCCCACTGCCTCTGGCCCCCAGTACAACTGTTTGCAGCTTAGCTGTGAAGAGGCTGCATGGAGAGGGTTGGGGATCACCCTGGGGGCCGGAAGCAGTGGGGAGATGGGCAGGGAGCTTAGGCTTAATGAGGACAGCTCGGTTTGCAAGATGAAAAGTGGTGCCGATCAGTTATATAGCAACATGAATATATTTAATATTGCTGAACTTCACACTTAAAAAAAAAAAGGATAATAGCTGGGTGTGGTGGTGTATGCCTTTAATCCCAGCACTTGGGAGCTGGAGGCAGGCAGCACCTCTGTGAACTCTGTGAATTCTCTGAACTCTGTGAGTTCAAGGCCAGCCTAGTCTACACTACATAGTGAGTTCCAAAACAGTCAGTTCTACACAGAGAGACCCTGTCTCAAAAGAGAGAGTTATAGAGAAGAGATAGAGAGACAGAGGAAGAGAAAAGGATAATGATAAGTTTTAAATCCCTGGTTGCTGGATTCCCTCTGCCGCTGATGTAATAAGCCAATCAAACCAAATTAATAAATCCAGGTTTAATAAGCAAAGCAATCATGGATGGCTCTTGGGAAGACAGGGGAAGAGTCACAGAAGGGTCACAGAGGAAGGGTCACATGGCAAATATGGCTACCAGGCCTTAAGTACCTGGGAGGCATGGTCTTGAGCAGCCACAAGGAGGGACTGGCTTTTGGTGGGCTTACAAGGGGTGGGGGTCTGGAATGGCAGAGAGAGGTGGGGGAGGGGACTTGAGGTGGAGCTTCCACCAGAACAGATAATCAGAGCTGGAGGGATGGCTCAAGGGTTAAGAGGAATTGCTGCTCTTGGAGAGAACCAGAGCTCAGTTCTCAGCACTCAGATTCCAGGCATTTCACAAGAACCTGTATAACTCCATCTCTAGGGGGCTCTGCTGCCCTCCTCTGGCCTCCACAGGTACCCACAACACTCATACACATACACATCCCTCCCCCCCCACCCAGGGTTTTTCTGTGTCATCCTGGCTGTCCTGGAACTCTCTCTGTAGACCAGACTGGCCTCAAACTCAGAATTCTGGCATGAAAGGCATGAGCCACCACCACCTGGTATAAAATATTTCTTAAGAAAAGTGTTTGTTTACATGGATAAGATCAAAAAAACACTCGGCCTGGTGGCACAGGCCCATAATCCCAGTCACTCAGGGGTCAGAGGCGAGAAGTTGGAAAGTTCAAAGCCAGCTTGGGCGACTTAGTGAGGGCATTTCTCGAAATAAAAAGCAAAGGGCCCAAGATACAGCTCAGTGGGAGAGTGCCTAGTGCAAACAGGGCTGGCTCAATGCTAGGATATTAAGAAAAATAAAAACAAGACTGTAAAACTTGTATGGTGTTTGTGTGTGTGTGTGTGTGTGTGTGTGTGTGTGTATGTAAGTGTGTGTGTATGTGAATGTGTGTATATGTGTGTGTATGTGTGTATGTGAATATGTGTATATATTTGTGTGTGTATGTGTGTGTATATGTTTGTGTGTATGAATGTGTGTGTATGTATGTGTGTATGTGTATGTGAATATGTGTATGTGTTTGTGTGTATGTGTTTGTTTGTGTGTGTGTATGTATGTGAGTGTGTGTGTATGTGAATGTGTGTATATGTGTGTGTATGTATGTGTGTGTATGTGAATATGTGTGTGTATGTGTGTGTATGTGTTTGTTTGTGTGTGTGTATGTGTGTGTGTATACTTGCATGTGTACCAGAAATTAATGTTTGTCTTTTCTCAATCATTTTCTAAGACAGGGTCTCTCACTGAACCTGGAGCGTACGAATTTGACTACACTGACTGGCCAACAAGGCCCAGGGACTCTACCATCTCAGCCTCCCCAGAGCAGGGATTACAGACAGGTGTGCCAACACACCCCACTTTTTTTGTTTCTTTGTTTGTTTTTTGTTTTTCCAGACAGGGTTTCTTTGTGTGGTTTTGGTGCCTTTCCTGGAACTCGCTTT